TCCACCCGGATCGCAGCAGGGGTCTAGATCGCATCCATTTTCATCAGCGACCCTGTCTCCCTCTCCATGGAGTTCGTCTCCTAGCATTTCAAAACTTCGCCTTCGGGATAGTAGCGCTGAGCCAGATGCCTCCCCTTCTACGCATGCTTCAGATTCATCGGAGGATGATGATCCAGAGGAAGTGCAGTATGTTCGTTATCATAGGATGATTATCAGGCCAGAGGCAATGGGTACGATTTATTAATTACTTCTTTGTTTTTGCTGAATTATAATAGCTAGTCTTGTTCATTTAATGAAATTGCTATGTTGCAGGTTCATACTACAAATCATCAAAATACAAAGATAATCACTGAAGCTCTTGGCCGGTTGTATGATGCACCCTATGCCACCGGAGCTCGTGGAGTAAATTTTTTCAACCAATTTAAGGTTTTAATACAATTCTTATCTATTTAAGCATTATATTAATAATATTTTCATCTAATGTTACACACTTCATTTGCAGACTAAGTGTGCTGGGGAGGACCGGCATAATAGTGCCATTCTTGCAAATTTTGAGCTCAAATGCCGTAAGAGACTATCCGATTCCTTCTGTTCTGCTCGGAAGAAAAGCAAGAAGCCTTCATGGGTTCTACTGCATTTATGGGAGGATTTGCTGAGGCAGTGGACCACTGAGAAATTCTAGAAGAGGAGTAAACGGGGAAAGAAGGCCCGAGCATTTGAGAAGGGTGGCTCCTTTCACTGTGTGGGTGCAAGGAGCATGGGGACTACAAAGAGACTACTGGTAATTTCTTAAAATATTTAAATCTATTTTATCAAACTATATTTGTATAATTTAATTTAGCTAACATGTTTTATTATATTTGTGGGAAAAATATATGGGAGGAGGATGACTCTTAATGTCCTTCAAGGTCAGCTATCCAATCTTCTTGCTGGTGGTGTTTTGCCGATTTCTCAGTCTCGTGAGTCTTCTCCAGATGTTAATCCTTCTCGTCGTGATCCTTCAAACCATGCCGATGATGAAGCTTCTAATAGTGGAGATGGAGATGATGCAGTACAAAACACTCATTGAATGATGTTTGAACTTTTAACTTGTGAAACGTTTTGTTGTTGGGTATTTTGAAACTCTATAAATATTGTTAATATAGTTTTGATAGTTGTTATTGTTGTTATTATTGTCGGTATTGTTGTTGTTATTGGTTGAATGGCAGCAATGTAATGCTGCCATTATAGGTGATTGGTTGCTGGCAGGTTGTGCAGCTATAAAACAGCTGTATTCTGCCAGCAGTTTACCCAAAAAAGCCGACCGCCTAACTACCCAAGTCGGTCGGAAATGTGCAGTTGAATTTTCTAGAAATTTAAATTTTATCGACCGACTTTGGTCGGAATTTTTTACTTTAAATTTTAAATATTTTAATATTACTGACCGATTTCGGTCGGAAATGAACAATTTAAAAAAAACGAATAATTAAGATACCGACCGATGTCGGTCGCTAATTTAAAAATTAACCGACTGAATTCGGTCGGATGTTGTCGCCTCGCATTAGAGACCATTATTTTTTTGACGAATTGAAAACGGTCGGAAATCGGTCGGTTTTTCTAGAGGCTTTTTGACAGTTTTCTAGTAGTAAGAGGAGATACAAGCGGTATGAACTTCGGGCCTTGCCTAACTCAACCCCAAAAGCTACATTATGAGTTGAGAATTTTTCAAGCTATGCACATAAGGAGACCAAGTCCCCCATCGCCAATCCGATGTCATGTGGGACTCATAAACACCCCTCACATGCCCAGGCTTGCAAACTGGGATGGATCCAGTTCTCATACCACGATAAAGAAATGGACATTGAGCATAACTTAACCCAAAAGCTAATTCATGAGGCGAAAATAGTCCAAGCCATATATAAGAAGACCAAGTCCCCCATCCCATCCAATGCGGGACTCAACAGTAGTGGCTGGTAACGGGACTGGCGATGAAGGTGATTGTTAATAGTGATTGGAGGTGACTCAACAGTTGTGTGGTATACTAAGTTCCAAAGTACGTAGCTTCTAGATTTACTTCAACATATTACTTATATTGTCTAATTAATGATAATTGTGATTTATCATTCTTCAAAAGTTTGAGAAAAATATAAACTTGAACCAAACCCACTTCCGAAACAAAATCAAATAAAAAGAAGAAGAAGCTGCATGATTGGTATAGTTTATTTGCTTATGGCACTAAACAACAAAATTGATTGCACTAATTACGTGACCATCTCAGCTACTCACAAAAAGTTTGGAATCAGATTGCATATTCTTGTTTACTATAATCCTTCCAAAAGTAAATATGTAAAGCAATACAGTTGGGTGACACTATCTTTGTCCATGTTAGATTTAAATTAGCATATTTTCTGTCATAAAAAACCTTTGTGCGTGTGCCATACACAAGCACGTATAAGGATATAGCAGAAATATATTGTGAAAAGCTACTAAATTGCTTTTCAAAAGTAAATTTAACGTGGAACCAGAATTGAATTAGCAAGTGCAACAGACATTTGCTGATTAAAAAGGTTATGCTTATGTTGTCCTGATTATTATCCAACTTCACTATTCCTTGTCTTTTACAGCAAATCATATCCAATAGTTTATATAGGTGACATTTGATTTTCGTAATGTATAATTGATTGTATAATTAATAAATCAAAAGATACAAGCCATTAGAAGGATATTAAAGTGCAATAAAGGGGAGGATTAGCCGAAGGATTGGTGACTGATGATAAGTGAACTTTCACCTTCAATTGATCTATTTTCGTGATATAGTGCATAACATCATATATTTTTGACTAAGTAACAGTTTTTAATTTAAATTTGGTTTAAATTAAAACCATAAGGATCTCGTATAATGAGAATTTCCTAATTAAAAAGCTGAATCGTAAGCATTTTCTGGACGTGACTTTGATCCACCCATATTTGTTCCAGAGTTGCTTTAGATATACACCACTTCTTTCCCAATTAAAGATTATTATCATCTTAATAATATTTAGCGATGAGCCACCAACATTAGATGTATAGTTTAGAAATCAGTCATTATTTCTACGTCTTTTCCCACTAACGGTCGCCGCCAAAACATTTTTATCTTCTGTAAATGTCACAGTGAATTTTTGTATGTATCCACTAATTCTGTATAAATCTTAACCATTTTAAAATTTTATTGACTTGTTCTTTAATTTCAAGTCTTTAGACTATAGTGGCACTAGTGGAGTTATGTACTTCGCAATTTTTTTTTGTGGTAACATGCATATTACTTTTATAGCCTTGCTCATTAGAAATTAATTGACTCATCACTCTTCAAATATTGGAGTGGAATCAATATAAACTTGAATTAAGCCCACCTGATCGAAAACTAAATGAAAAAGATTTTTTCTTAAAAAGGAAAAATAAAAGAACAAGAAGCTGCATGATTTTGGTATATATATATACACGCGTAAAGAAAGTTTATTTGCCTATGGCACCAATAGAAGAAAGTTGATATGGTCATGGCACTAATAAATCTGCTACCAGACACAAAAAGTTTTGAATCAGATTGCATATTCGTGTTATATGGTTTGATCTTCCAACAAAATAATATACGAAGCGCTATAGTTGGCTCACACTATATTTGTCCAACTTAGACATAAATTAATTAGCTAGCATATTTCTGGCATAAATTAGGCTTTGTGCGTGTGTCAAACACGAGCACGAAAAATGTTTTAGTGTAAAGCTAATTGGTCGCGTCACCAAATTAGTACATATAATATGAGCATTAAAACTAAATTAGTGAGTGCAAAATACAGGTGGTTGCCTAACCTGATTTTGAACCAACTTCACCAATTAATCCGTTTGTCTTTTACTATACAGCATTTCAAATATATTATATAAGTTCATGTATTCTTCAATAAAATTATAGGTGCCATTTGATTTTTGTTAATGCGTGGCTGATAAGTGATAAGAGAACTTGCATATGTACTATGGAATGAATAATGGTATTGAAAAGACCTTGCACCCCCTCAAGTGTTGGTTAATCTCTAATGAAGACCAAATTATATTCAAGGGATTGATTCTGAAGCGACTATACTTATTTCATCGCACCTCTGTTATATATGTCTTTGTCAATTTCGATCCATAAATGTGTAACTCGTCTTACCTATTAATTTAAACATGAGTGGATTAAGCGGGTGAAGTGTTTATTTAAAGGCTAAATGGACAAGTAATCCATCCACAAAGTTGGATTAATTTGAGCTAAATTACTAATCCCATATCAACTGCCAAAAAAAAAAACTCAAGTTAGGGCTAATAAATGGTTTTGAAGACATACTTCTTTTTATTGATACTATCTTCTGTTTCGTCCAAGCAGGATTCAAAGTATCGGTCATATTGGGTAAAATTTCTTCCATTGTGGTTTATCAACCAGTCTTGAATACCGAGATTGATTCTTTACAAAATGAATTACTTCCACCAAAGAAGGGTCCATAACTTGCCAATAATTTTTCTGCATTCTAATAGTACTGTTCAACTGATTTGTCATCATTTTTTGGACGTAGCGGTGATCCAACCATATGAGTTTCAGAGGTGCTTTGTTAGACAGATATACATCACTTATTTCTTAATTAAAGATCATTATCATCTTAATAATATATATATATATATATATATATATATATATATATATATATATATATTTATATTAAATCAGTCACCGCTAATTAGATGTATAGTTTAGAAATAAGTCATTAGTCCATGTCTGATGTCTTTCCCCACTAATCATCACCACCAAAACTCTATTAATATCTTCTGTATCTTTTATCGCCTATGATATCACAGTAAAATTTAGGTTTGGTAAGAGATGACGCCCTAAACTAATAACGAGGGCATAGTCAAGGGATTTTGCAGTATGGCGCCGTTCTAAGTTAGCACACGGTAATATATATATAGGTAATGAGTTAGCAACATTTGACAGTATAAAATCTTGCTATTTGGAAGACAAATTTGAGGCAAAAGCACATATAATTTTATATACTAATTAATGGATTTTTTAATATGCTTTACAAAAACGCCGCATAACAGAGAAACTTAAAGGTCGAACCTAGCTCAACAGCCAAGAGAAATCGGTTAGTGAAACCAATCGATAACAATTTCTCCTTGTTTTCTTTTTTCATAAACCTGTTCAAGTTTGAATTAAGAAGTGAGCACAGCACAAGTGCTGTTATAAGCTTGGGTTCTATGTTTTTTATTATAAGCATTATGAAGAATAAGGAGGCACTCGATTTGGTGATGAAATTTGGGTTTGATAAGACCCCAAACAACATGAAAAGTTGAACTAAGATGCACGCGTAAGAGCAAAGGCAATCCTTTCCCAGATTGGAGCATGTCTTGCATATTTCTTCCTGCCCCATACATTGCCTTTTCCCTTGTCCCTACATTTAGCTTGAAGTATGTTGGCCCATTGCTCCCTGCATAAAGCTCTTCCCCCTAACAAAGGAACAGTGACAATGTTAAGCAGAGGTGGATTCCCGCGACCAACAGGTTCATCTTATTCCAGTACTTTTGGCCCCAAGTGAGTAAAAATTCAGTAAAATTGTAATAAATACTACTCCCTCCATTGCAATTTATGTGAACATGTTTGACTGGGCACGGAGTTTAAGAAAAAATGAAGACTTTTGAAATTTGTGGTCCTAAACAAGTCAAAAAGGGGCCCAGAGTATTTGTGTGGTTATAAAAGCTTCTCATTAAGGGTAGAATGGTAAGTTTAAGCTAAATTGTTACCAAATTTAGAAAGGGGTCATTCTTTTTGGAACGGACCAAAAAGGAAATAGATTCACATAAACTGGAACAGAGGGAGTAGTAAATATGAACCTATATTTTATAACTACAATAGGTTCAATGTTAAAAACCATAAACATTTAATTGATAGTTTAAATTTTAAATCGGTCTCTAACGTTATATACCTCTTTTAGAATTTTTCAAAATTTGAAATTGACAAAGTTTAAATTTTTTTCTCTCACGTGTAAAATATATTTACATAATTATATCACTTATAGAGTAAGTACAAGTAAATTTTTATGGATAAATATTATAATCGAGTAAAAGTGATAATTCATTAATCTATTATCATATGTTGAACTTATATAAGCCTGTTGAACATGAGAAAATTGCTAGAATTTGATTATTTGTCTCATGAAAGAGGAGCTCTAGTCCAAATTTTTTTTTTTTTTTTTTAAAGGTTGGAAGAACTTTTGACAGCTTCCCTTTAGTTTGTTCGAGTCAAAAAGGAAAAAAAAAAAAGAAGAGATGTAATAAAACATGTTGCTGTTCTCTTAAAACGTAGAATACATGGTAAACTTGGCAAGTATTGTATGGATCATAGGTGTCAATTTTGACCCAAAAAATGAGCGACATATTTATTTAGTGATTAAAATGAGTGTAGCCTAATCAACCATCAAAGATGTTGGGCAACTTGGGCTGTATTCTTAGCCCAAATCAACTAATATAACACTTTTTGTTGAAAAACAGAAAAGAGAAGGACAGACGCATGATTTCAGATGTACAATATAATTTTTAACAACTCAATTATATTGCCAAGCTCTAAAATCAAAGTAATCAGCAAGCTGAATAGTATTTGAGATTATATGTTGAACTACTCTTAACTCATCTTGATCCAACTCATCGCCTATTGACTCTAGCTCATTCTAACTTATCCTAATTAAAAATCTTATGACAAATGCTGAAAATCAAATTACTTGGTTTCTTATTCTGATTAATTAGTTAAACTGCAGGTGCATATAATTCAAGTAAAAAGAAAATAACATAAATATTGGTAAAACATAATTGATAAAACCTTACTTGTGCTAATATGAAAGGTAGCCTTCCAAAATACATTTCCATTGCAGGGGGATGAATGTAAAGTCCAAAGAGCTTAGACTTGTTATCTATTTGTAAACTCATGGAATAATTGCATGTAAGCATTTTGGTATTTACACCAGTTCCATCCACTCCCTCTCTTAATCCAAATTCACGAACACCGGCAATCTACAATAAAAATATTTATTTAAGTAAAATACACTAAAAATGCAAAACTTTATTAATGTAATAAAATGGTTTAACATGTGATAGCAGATTAATTAAGAAATATTTGTTCTAAGTAAGAAAAATGAAAACTTAGTTAATGCCAAGTGCATTAATAACATGATATAAGTTCTACAAAATAACACTAATGCAAAGTAGTGACATCTGATAGACATTCAAAGAAGAAAGATTATTTCATTCACACTAAGAATATCAAATATCGGTTTGATAAATAAGCTTGTATGCCACTCAAGAAAGCAAGAAAATGAATAGACAACACTAGTTTATTGTAGCTTAGACAACTAAAATAGCACACACACACACATGTCAAACTTGCTTCACTTTTCTTCATCAAAATTTCGTATTATGTGTACTAAAGATACCGAAGAACTGCAATTCAATGAAAAGGACAATGTATTTCCTTCATCAATCATTATATAGCAACATAATAAGTATTCTAGCATAAAATGGTGATGCCAAAAGTAAAAAGGATAAATGAAATCATGCTTTAAGTGATGAGTGGCTAATGAGGCTGAATTCCACAATTGTAAATAAAATTTTGTCAGAAGGGATCGATATGATACAGATAAAACGGTGTTAGTAAGAATTAGTTTGATATAAATATTGGGTGCGAATAAATATATTTTCAAAAATTAGAGGTTAAAGATAAGGAAAATGTACAAATATAGAAATATAATGTTTTCCGACAAAAATGAATATTATCCCATAAATCAAAGATGTCAAAGAAATACAACGGCTTAAATATTTGTATACTCGCACTTAAATATTTATATACTTTTTGACATGCTGAATTTGAGATAAATTCTCTGATTTATTAATTATAAATTTTTTTTTTCAAATTAGCTGTTCTACTTTCTATATAAGAAAGTTGGAAGAAAAGTAAAATATATTTTTACATTTTTCCGTTCTTCTTTTATTATATCCAAAAAGTGAATGCTCACTTTTGTTGTAAAAAAAAAAGTTTCAACATTTTAAAAAGTCTAATTGAACATAACGTTTTCCACCTTTAGTTAAAAATATAACAAAACTTATTAACTTGAATTGTCATGCCGAAACTTAACGCCTTAACGGGATAGCTAAATTGGGATGGAAATAGCTTTTTCACTACTATAGTTCTTTAAGATAAATAGATCAAAAGTATTTTACCTCTTCCTAGCTACCCAATTAGAAATATTCAGTAACTAAATTTTTGTGTCTAATTCTTCTTTTTCTTTTCCCGAAATTTTGCCTCTAATTTTTCTTTAATTTTGTGCAGAAATTTAGATTTAACAAGTGGTGCCCCTCGCTTGCCCTATGGGCGACACTTTTAATTTGTGACCTAATGTTGCCCATGGAGATTGGAGCAAGCATGTGTCAACAACAACAACAACAACAACAACACTAAACCCAGTTTGATCCCAACAAGTGGGGTCTGGGGAGGGTAGTCTGTACGCAGACCTTACCCCTACCTAATGCAGGTAGAGAGGCTGTTTCCAATAGACCCTCGGCTCAGAAAGGGCAAAAAGAAGAAGAGGAAAGCAAGGGAGGAAGAAAGATGGAAGATAAAAGAAAAAGGGAGAGATAAAGGTAAGTGGTACCAAATAATAGCAACAAGGAATACAATACCTGAGGCGAACAAAACCACATAACATAATAAAATCTAAGAATATGAAGGGACATGCATACTACTAAGACTATCGGTGAACAACTATAAACTACCTACTAACCTTCTACCTTAATCCTCGACCTCCACACTCTCCTATCAAGCATAATCCATAATCATGGAGATTGGAGCAAGCATGTGTCAAAAGTTAAATACCACTCCAAAAAGTGTCATATTTATGCAATTATTCGGTCGAACCCAGCATAATCCAGCCCAGTGGGCCTTGAGTTGGACTTCTTTAATGGGCCTCATGTGGAGTTTATATCGAGTTAGGGCCCTCATACTTTCTCCAACCTATCTTTACTAAATGGGCTTTCAGTCAAAAGCCGCTAACTTGATACCTTGTTCTTTTTAATGCATTTACAAGAAATCTTATGTCCTTTCAAGTTTCTTGGAAAGTTTCCCCTTTTCAATAAAACCAAATGTCAATGGTTTTTACATAATTCAAAAAATGTGGTAACCCAACAAAATTCTTTTTTTTTATACTGGTATATTTTAATTAGGATCATCTAGGTCCAACATCAAAAAACAACAAAAATGTCTTCTCCAAACAAACGATCAATCCAAATGTAGGTTATCAGGAATAGAAAACAAAATTTCTCCAAAAAATTTGAAACACACGATTTTCTTCCAACTTTTTTTTGATAAAAGGTTTTTTTAAATGTAAGCTAAAACCAAATCCAACGCCATATTATAATTTGGAACTCTAGAAAGATTATCTTCAAGATCATGTCTGACCTTTTGACTAGCAATAAAGGAATATAGTAATGATAAAATAATCAATACATGACAAAAAAGGAATAAGAATGCGCTTCAATGGAAAAAACAAATAAAGTAATGTTGAAATAAATAAGCTTAAATGGGTCGGGGAAAGGCAACATTGAAGGTAGGAAGTGGTTCTATTTCTAATGTGCTTGACGCGATTTAAATTTGAATTAATCGAATCAGTGAGTTTCGAATACAAATATAAATATAAAAGGAAAAAAAAAAAAAGAAGATTGTTACCTCAAGAGAAACCTTAGGTGCAGGGGGCTTTGTGGCAATGTAGAAAACAACCAAAGCAATTATCATACTCAGAATAAGCCTCCAAGTTACTTGCAAAACAATCCACGGTGTCGAATCCGAATATCCCAAAGAAAAAAACCTCTTCCAATTTCCTTTCCCATAATAATAATCCTCCTCTTCATATTCATATTCATATTCATCCTCATATTCATTCCCCTCTTCAACACTATTACCATTTTTCCCATGTAGCAATAATTTTGTACAACGTTTCTCATGATCAATCTCAATATTCTCATCAATTCCTGTTGCATGGCTCTGAAGCGAGTCGCACGAGATCTTCTTCTCATGATGCGAGAACGAGTGGTTAGATCCACGAGACGAATATCGAGAAAGAGCCAATGGACCGACTTCGGGTTGAGGTATTGGGGAATGACATACTGAAAATTCGTTACTATTATTGTTTTTGTTGTTATTGTTATTATGACGAGTGAGTTCTCCGCTATTTGCATGCGAGATAGTAGATGGACTTTGCACGAAGTAAAGTGTATAGGGAGAATTTCGAAACAAGGTTTCCTCCTCTGAATCCATGAATCAGTGAGTCTCCGCTATATGAAATTTAGAAAATGAAATGAGATGAAGAAGAAGAGAGGAAGTATGATTTCACTGACAAGTCAAAGTGTGTATGGAGGGTATTTTAAAACAAATAAAGAGACGTTGCTTTTGAGGTTGGCTTAGCTTTAATTACCTGAGCCATCATTACCCTCAGGCTGCAAGCCATACCACATTGTGAAACTCAAAAGCTTTTTAATTATTTATTTTTTAAAACTTAAAATTCTTTTACTTCTCAATCCTTTTTCGTTTTAGCATTATTTAAGTGGATTTTTGTAATCATAATTGTGTATTACATAAGTAATACCGGAACAATATTATTACTCCTAAGTGATAGTTGAAATTTAAGTTTTTAAAAACATCAAATTGAAAACGTTACGTACCAAATAAAAAAGAGTGATGTGATAATGAGGAAGGACTGGGTTACTATTTTACTTATTTTAAATATTGTTGTCTTTTTGTGGAAAATAACCAAAAATTGGTGTCTTCAAGAAAAAGACTGCTCCTTGTTAATCTTTGGATATTTTTTGGCAAGGGGAAATGGTAGTAAGGTTACGGTAGACTGTTCGTTTGTATTAGTTTGGCCACTTTTTTAAAAAAAAAAAAATCGAAAAAACTTCTGTATATTATAATATTATATATATTCATGATCAGTTTCGGAAACAGCCTCTTTATTCCTTCGGGTTGGGGTAAGGTCTGCGTACACACTACCCTTGCCAAACCCCACTAGTGGAATTTCACCGGATCGTTGTTGTTGTATATATTCATGATCAGTTTTAAGTATATTATAATATTTATTTATTTTAGTAAATTAAAATAACATAGCATTAAGTTACCAGATTATAATTAAATATGTCAAATTAAGTTCAGAATTATTAATTAATTACTTATATAGTGATTGAACTCCTTAAAATTTAGAAATTTCATTAAAGAAAAAATGGTAATTAATCTTTTAACACACAGGCTGAAAAAGATAGGTCAAAACTAACGATTCATTTGTCAAATATTATCTCCTTCACATTACATTTTACTTCTATTTTTTTCGTTACGTCCCTTTTTATTTTGAACATATTATTAATGTAAGAATCGAATCTTTATTCATTTAAAGTGAAAATGGTGTTACTCTATAAATAGTTTTTACTCTATAAAATCGAATCTTTTTATGAAGATAGAATAGTGAAGAAAAACATCGACTTGAATGTGCAGAGTAAAATATTCTTCAAAAAAGTCATAACCCTCTATTATTTCCTTAAACTATAAGATTTCATTCATGTTTTTCTAAAAGTGAAATGACTTTCTAGATAGTCAGCAGAGATTAAAAATAGCTCTCTTTGCTGGAAGTTATTACTAATTATAGTGTCCAAAAATTATCAAAAATCTTGATCGCTATAAGAAGGTTTCACTACATCAATTTTCAACAAAAAACAGAAAGCAATTTGTTATTCTAACTATTGGTAGACGCTTTTCAATAAAATTAAAAAAAAATATTTTTAACAATTAATTATCAAATTCGTTTTTGATATTGTGTAAACTAACTCTTCGTGTAAATTTTAGTAATTAAGATACTTTGGCCGAAAATTACGGAAGGGCCCCTGTCTGTCATAATTAAATTGATTTAATTAACCTCTAGTGCCTATAAATAGACTATACTATTGTATCCTTTACACCGAATTGTTTCCCCTTTTTATGTCCGAGAGAATGATGACAATTTAAGCACGCTTTTTCAGCATCTAACGGTTTGCTTCCTTTCCAATTTTTTTTATTTTCCATGTCAAATGTTTAGCATTGAGCCCCAACAAACCTTTTTTGTTTTGTTACTATTGTTGTTATTATATTATTTCTAATAAAGAATGATAAAAAGAACAAGAAAATACGAGACTATCAATAATTTGGAGCTATTACTCATAAGTGTTTGCAGCAGAGCGCAGACATATTTCATAAGAGAATATATTTCATATTTTCCCAAATTGAAAAATATACTGGCCATAAAACATAAAGACAGAGTTCAGAGTATGCATGTCGGATTGAGTTGAGAATTTTTTTTTTTTTACAAAGACAAAAGCAAAATTTAAAAAGAATGTAAATTTATCAACTAAAATACACTTGATTTCTCTATAATTTGCTATAATTCTAGATCTTATGGAAAGGGAGGAGATGTAATATTAATAAGAAATAGTAAAAATAGTTATCTTTCTTGCTTTTGAAGGCAGTAAATGAATTGACCTGCAAGATTTCTAATGGTTGCTATGATTAGAGTTGATTATGAGACCACCCAAAATAGAGCAAGGGATGGAATTGGATCTTGCTTTATTACAAAGAAATCATTCAACCCACCTATATTATTAAAAAAATGTAAGATATTTATCTTGTGCATTTTACATATTTTTTTTGGCAATAATCTGTGAATATTATTGTGCATTTTACATTCATTTTCATTTATTTATACAAAAAATAAAGAAAAGAAACTTTAGAAATCATGTATTTTTTAAAACATAATAATGCTCATTATCAATTGTACTAGAATATATAAGTCTTAAAATACACTTGGGACGAGGATTTGTCTGTTATTTGTGATTTACCCAGTATTAAACATTTCATATAGAACAAGGGTATTGTGCTCCACATCGACAGTTAACGTTTATTCTAGATGTTTTGTTCAAATCCTCTCGATTCATTTAATCATCAGTATTACCATTTCAATCTACATATTCATCGTGATTTCCTTAACGTTGTTGTATCAAATGGATTTGCATTGTGATATCACTAACTAAAGAGTGAACCCAACCAGATATTGTTTTGGAGATGCCTTCACTAAATTCCCTTATGTTTCATCCGATTTTGCAGTTCTCGAAATTGAGCCTAGTAAGGGTTAGAGAAATTGGCAATGTACATACCAATTCTAACAACTATTAGGAAGATTTTAGCTAAAATTAACTTAGCAACTAAAGCCTAAAAACTTGACAATGAATAGTCAAATCGTAGGTCTATTTTCTTGTTGGGTCTAGTTTGAAAAAGGGTTATGTGACGACCCAAAGAGTCATCACCTATTTCCTCATCCATTCCGTGCTTACGAGGCCTTAAAACCTCATTTTTTTTACTTGCCTCGATTTGCGTGCGCAGTCCGGGCGCGTAGCCGGAAAGCTTTTATGTTGAAATATGTGAATTCCGTGAAAAATTTGAAGAATTTTGATATTAATATGATTATAGTTGACTTTGGTCAACATTTTTGGTAAACGGACCCGGACCCGAGATTGGACGGTCCCGGAAGGTCCGTAGAAAAATATGGGACTCGGGCATGTGCCCGAAATCGAATTCCGAGGTCTAGAGCCCGAGATATGAATTTTTCCGTGAAATTGTTTTTCTAAAATTATTAAGGAAAATGAAAATGAAAATTGATTAAAAGACTATGGTATCGAGCTCGTATTTTGGTTTCGACGCCCGGTACAAGTCTTAAATATGTGTTAAGCGCTAGTTTGGTCGAAATCGGACGTCGTTTGACGTGTTTCGGACTATGAGTTCAAAGCTTGAAAGGTTATGAAGTTTAGAAGAAGAATCATGTGTTTTGAGGCTTGATTCAATGATTTTGATGTTATTTTAGCGATTTGATCGCACGAGCAAGTCCGTAGGATGTTTTTGAGGTTGTATGCGTGTTTTGTTTGGAGCCCCGAGGGCTCGGGTGAGTTTTGGATAGGTGTCGAGTTGCATTTTTGAACTTTGAAAAAAAAAAATTGCAGATCAGGTCTGGTATTCTCGCATTTGCGAAAGATTCCTCGCAAATGCGAGACTCGCAATTGCGAGTTCCCCATCGCAAATGCGAGATGGAAGGGTTTCAGCTTGGGTCGCAAATGCTACGCCACTGTTCGCAAATGCGATATGGCCATGATCGCAAATGCGATCGGATGTTCGCAAATGCGAACCTAGTCCACCAACCCGAGTTCGCAAATGCGATCCCTGTGGTCGCAATTCCCAAGCCTGTGATGTTTGCAAATGCGAACTTACCTTCGCATTTCCCATATCCGAGGCCCAGCAAATTTTATACTTAGTCGAATTTTCACCACTTTTCACCATTCTTTCAAAACCCAAACACCATAGGTGAATTTTCAAGAGCAAACTTCATCCCAAATCACTTGTAAGTTGATTTTTACCCAATTCTTTCAATCTTTAACATCATTAAACATGTTTTCCACTTGAAATCAAAGATTTTTATGGGTGAAATTGGGATTTTTGGGTAGAACCTAGGTTTTCTATAAATTGGGGAGTTGGACCTCGATTTGAGGTCCGATTTCAAAACAAATTATATATTTGAACTCGTGGGGGAATGAGTAACCAGATTTTGGTTCGAACCTTGAGTTTTGACCACGTGGGCCCGGGGGCGATTTTGGAATTTTTGGAAAAAAACTTGGGAAACTCATTTTTTTTATGCATTCAAATTGATTCATATAGAGCGAATTAGAGGTGGAACCGCGAGGTAAAGCAATAGTTGAGGATTAAGTGGATTTCAAGGCTTTGAGGTAAGTGTTTGGTTTAACCCTAGCTTAAGGGAATAGGGGTTGAGTCTTGTTGCTAATTGCTATGTGTTCGAGTACGATGTATAGGCTATGGTGACGAGTATCTATACATTGGTGTCTAGCATGACCGTGAGTCCTTATAACGTGATTATCATGACTTGGTTGTGAACTCCGTGTTTATTGGAGGATTTCTATATGTTGTGAATAACATGTGAACGGTAATATGATCATTTGATTCCTGGGAGCATAGGCTCGAATTGTGATACGAATATTGAAAATTATACGAAATGACTTGTGTCTTTGGAGCGTTGGCTCAAAATAGTAGAGTGAACTCTAAGATAAGAAAAGTAAGAAAAAGAAAGCTTTGTTGGTTATTCCCTTGCCGGGATGTTTGTCAAATATTTACTTATTTTTATGCCCCTTAATTGTGACTGTTGTTTGGGGAGTCGGACTGTTAAATGATACTGGGGATCGGGTTGCGTGCCGCAACAGTGATATTGAGGATCGGGTTGCACGCCGCAACAGTAAAAGGTGAGGATCGGGTTGCGCCGCAACAATTATACATGATAAATG